TTCTTGTGAGTGTGTGCGCAGCCACTTGCGGATATTTCACTCAACACCACCACCACCACCACCAACAACAACAACAACAACAACAACAACAACAACAACAACAACAACAACAACAACAATCTGCTTGTGTGCGGAATGTTGCGAGGCAAGCGCGCTGCCTGGCACCGCTGCGGTGGGCTCATGACTCGCCCGCGGCCGTTGTAGATAATTAGACGGTATCATAAATGATTATCTAAAATTGAAATTTGAATCTGCCGGGGAAAAAAGGACTCCACCACAGCACGGACTCCACGTTCAGCACCGGGCAGAACCACCGACCCTCACCTCTCTGCTGTGCATCGTCCGAGAGCACCACTGGCACCAGCAGGTACGGCAACATTCCAAGAGGTGACAGAGTACCTCAACGGCCGTTTCCACTTGCCTGTTGCTCCCCCCTTATGTCTACTGCTTTCCAGCACCCCACAGCCCCGGCTTCACGTTCAGTTTCGCCCAGACCTGACACTCAGTGTGCCGTTCGAAAACAGCCCAAACTGACCGAAACTAACGAACTGGCGTTGACGCTCATACAAGCGCACATCACAACAACACAGCAGCCGCTTCACCTTCGTGTGTGCGCGTGTACGTCCTTCTCTTCCTCCTCCTCCGCGTCCTTCCTTTTCTTTACCCAGACCTCCAATACCGACCCCTCACCTTTACGCTCACACACACACACGTACCGTATCTATTCGTTGTCACACTGAACGCACCGCACCGTGACGCGTGAACCCACGCATCGCAATCCCAAACACAACGCGACGCCGCCATGGACGCCTCTCTCCTCAGACAACCACACATCATGCCCAGGTACAGATTTTGGTTCAACGTGCAGTGGGCGCACACGAGCTGTGGGCAATACATCAGTGCATCGTGTGTGCTTGCGAATGCCACGATGCGTTGCCACACCAGCTGATGCTTTTGTGTGTGTGTGTGTGTGTGTGTGTGTGTGTGTGTGTGTGTGTGTGTGTGTGTGTGTGTGTGTGTGCAGGGACGCGCTGGACTCCTCCGGCGCCTTCAGTGGAAGTTTTCTCTCCTTGTCTGGCCAAGACAAGCAAGTGCTGCAAGCCTACGATTCAGAGCTTCAGAACCTGCGCAGCAAGCTGCAATTGGAAACGAAACACAGACATCAGCTCGCTGTAAGTTCATCACCCAGCTGTTACAGCATGGCGACATCATTTGTGCGTGTGCGTGGAGGTGTTTTTGTACGTGTGTGTACGCGTGTTTAACAGTGTGTATGTGTACGTGTCTGTGTGTGTCCGTGTGTGTCTGCCTACCCGCCTACATGCGTGTGTGCCTGCCTGCCAACCTGCCCGCGTTTGGTCTTCTTTGCGCGGGCGCACACGGATGAGGTTTACTGGTAGCCCTCACCAGCACCACCATGAACATGACATCCACTCATTACTGTATCACACAAAAACCGTACTCCCCCGTCACACCACCATCACACGCATGCGCACGCATGCAAACACAGGAGCGATGTGATCAGCTAGAGACCATGCTCATCAGTCAGCAAGAGAACATCATGCGGCTGGAGCGTTGTCTGCATCTTGTGCAGTCGCAGCTCGAGCACCAACATGGCAAACACCAACAGCAGCAACAGCCGCAGCCATCACACAACAAGGCCTCACAGAAGAACCAACAGCCTGCCTCGTACGTTGCACAGTCCCTTGTGCTTGTTGCGTTCTTGTTGCTGTATGTGCACTGGGTGCAGATATAAACTGCCTTGTGTGCCCCTGACTGGCCTGTCTCGCTCACTTTGCCCACTCACTTGCTTCTGTTGTTGCACCTGCAGACAATCAAACGGCCAGGCAACCACCATTGAGCTAACCCTATCGAAACTCAACAACAGCTTCGGTGCGTACACTTGCTCTGTGCGTGTGTGTATGTGTGTGTGCGCGCGCGTGTGTGTGTGTGTTCGAGTGAGTCTGGCTGTGAGTCTGTGTATTGTGTGTGTGTGTGTGTGTCTGGCTGTGAGTCTGTGTATTGTGTGTGAGTTGCTGTTCATTTGGTCCCACCCACTGGCGTGCGCGTTCCCCTTGCGTCATCTTCATCACCAATGCCCATCTTGCTCACACAACACACACCCACACATCAACCGCACTCTCCCCTCTCCGTGCCTTGTTGATGTGCAGGCCTCACGCTTGCTGGCGGGCGGAAGTCGCCTGTGCGTTGGCTGTATGTGCACAGCGTTCATAAGGTAGAAATCACATGGTGTAATGGCTGGTGTGCACATGTGCGTTGTGCAACAAACACGCACGTACATACACATGCACTTGAGCGGTCACGAATATACTGCTCACCAGTGCGTTCCTTGACACCGACACCAACATCCCTTTGTGTGTTCGTTCGCAGGACGGCTTTGCAGCGAAGGAGGGCAGCATTCGCGCCGGTGACCGTGTGCTCGAGGTGCGTCATGGCTGTCCATCACCGCTGTGTGTGTGTGTATTGTGTGTGTGTGTGTGTATTGTGTGTGTGTGTGTGTGTGTGTGTGTGCTCTGTGCATCTGTGCATCTGTGTAGGTGGGTGGGTGGGTGTTTCTGCAAGCATTGAACATTGCCCTTTTTGTCCACGTACACTTCCATTGGCACGAGTGAAACAACTTACTCACTCCCTACTGCTTGCCCCCAACTGCAACACGATCATCAGATTAATGGCATTACGACGGAGGAAATGACAAAAACAGAGGCAGAGGAACACATGTACAGAATGGACAGAGCGCGGCTGAAGCTCAGCAGGTCTGTTGCACCCTGACATGTCCGGCAGCAGTGCAGCCAGCAGCACATGCACACGCGGGCACACGCTGACACACACACACACACGTGCGCGCAATTTTACGCACTCACTGACACATACACTTACACTTGTGCACGAGCTCATGCCCTCACTGACACTCACGCGCACAACACTCCTCGCATTCAACCACTAGGGAGCCTGGGTTTGTGCTGTCACTGAAGCACCAAGGCGTGAGCCTGGACAAGGCACCACGGGATGAGCTGAAGGTTCTGGCCACTTCCACATCGCACTCACCCATGGACGCCAACGACTTTGATGCACACGCGAACGGGCGCAGCACGCGTGTCGGTGCACTTGCATCGCTGAGCGTGAACACCATCCACACGCGCGACACAACAAAAGCTGGCGCGCGCCTACACCAGAAGGCGAAACCGCTCGCCTCCCCGCCGAAGCGCCGCGTCACATTTGGTGAGCGCACACGCGAACCCTATCATGCTGCTGCTGGTGGTGCTGGTGCGCGTTCCTTTGGTAGCTGCTTATCTGCTCTCGCGTGTCTCGCGCGCGCGGGCAAGACGAGATGATTGTTCGATTTTTGGATGCTTGTGAGTTGACCTACGCATGTACATGTCTGGGGACATTCTTGCCATGTTCAACAGCGCTGACATCATCTACATTTTGTTTTGCTGTCGTTGTTGTTGCTTGTTCCCTAACACCAGCCACCAGCGCGCGAAGCAAGATCTTCGAGGAGGGTGACAGCAAGCTGCCTGATGACAGCTTCTGTGTTCCACTTCAGCCTGCAGACATCACACCAGCATCGCCAGGGGTGCGTTTGTGTTTGATTCGAGATGCACTGCCTGTTCTGACGACTGATACATGACAACATTTAAGTCCCATACACAACTAAAGAAAAAAACAAACACACGCATTTGCACAACCGCACGTGCGCGCTCTTCTCACTGTGCCACATATACATGTATGTGTTTTTGTTTTGTTTTTTTGTGTGTGTGTGTGTGTCTGTGTGTGTGTGTGTGTGTTGGCTGCAGATTCGTGTGGCTCAGCTGGATGACCTGTCGTCGTCATTCAACTCACAGGTGAGCTTACATGCGTGCGCTGTCTTGTCCGTATCCAATGTGCCAGTCCCAAACACACACGCACACGCACACGCACGCATACGTACACACACATGCCCACCCGCACACGCCGCTGATGATTACGTGTGTGCTTGACGATGGCGCCACTGACACTGCCTTGCCCGCGTGCGTGACTCCATCTGTAGGCGTCAGCGGATACGGATGAGGAGCCCGATGAGTCGTTTGAAACAGAATCAGATCTCCCAGATGACATGCAGCCCCTCTTTGAGGTGTGACAGCCTGTGTTCACGCTGCGTGAGCGGTAACATGTGTTTGTGATTGTGTGTACGTGTATGATTGTGTGTGTGTGTGTGTGATTGTGTGTGTGTGTGATTGTTGTGTACATGTGCGCGTTTGTGAGAGCATAGTGTGCATGTGTGTATGTGCTAAAATTGTCGACTCACAGTTCTCCGTCCAACCATTTCCGCCCCCTCACGTGTTGATGCTGTGATGCATGAGCAGGAGTGCAAGCAATCTTGTCCAGGATTTGCTGTCAAGTGCATCCGCCTGGAAAAGGTGTGCGCGCTGACGAGATGTGTGCTGCTCGGAGCCGTTGTTGATATTCTGTTTTGTCCTCACGCTCTCTACTTTCTTCACTGTCTTCACGCTCACACTTTGGCATCAATGTTGTACATTGCCGTTTGCGTTTCTTCAAACAGCTCGCACATGAGAACACTCTGGGCATCTCAATCTGTGCGCGTGTGCAGTCCAACAGCAACAGCAGCGGCAACAACGCCAACAGCAGCAACAGCAGCACTAGTAGCAACAACAACTCCCTCAACGACTCTGACAAGTAAGTGTGTGTGTGTGAGTGTGTATGTGTGTGTGTCTGTGTGTTAGAGTGTATGTGTGTGTATGAGAGAGAGGGTGTGTGTCTGTGTGTGTGTGTGTGTATGTGTGTGTATGAGAGAGTGTGTGTGTACGAAGTCTCCTATTTTCCTGTCTGCTGTGACTGTGGATAGGTGGGTGTCGCGCTGTGATGCATCCCCATTCTTTTCACCTGCACACATCTTCCAATGCCACCGTCATCTCACACGGCTCCACCAACACCGCCACCTCTTCTTGCTGCGTTAGTGCCGACATTGGTCCGTACATTGTCTCCGTGCGTCCCGGTGGTGCTGCTGCTCGCTCCAACAAGATCAAGTTGGAAGACCAGCTCCTTGCTGTTGACGGCGTGGACGTCCGGTACATGGACACGCGCGATGTCATCACGGTGAGATTTGCTTGCATCATTCACTCGCACCTTGATACGCTTGCTTCCAACCTGGCTTTGTTCTTTGCCACGTTTACGCGCACAGCGTGCTGTAACGCACACGTGCACAAGCGCACACGCACATGTGAGAGTTTACGAGTGTGTGACCATGCTTCATGTTCTCACCGCTGTGATTGTCTTCCTTTGCACACCTCGTTGTTGACCAATGACAGTATCTGCAAGAGACCAAGGCCGTTGTGCACTTGATTGTGGCGCGCAAGAAGAGTCGCAAGCACGCTAATGGCTCCAGCCCACAGACAATGCTCTAACCGAGCCGTGTGTTTGTCTTGTGTGTGAGAGAGAGAGAGAGTGTGTGTGTGTGTGTGTGTGTGTGTGTGTGTGTGTGTGTGTTTACAGTTGTGTGACGGGCTGTTGTGTTGGTGGCCCCTGTTCACAGTGTTTTGCTCTACTGTTCTCTACCTACTATCGCATCGCAGTGTCATTCGCAACATGAACCCAGGCTGTGCTTGTTGTTGTTGTTGTTGTTGTTGTTGTTGTTGTTGTTGTTGTTGTTGTTGTTGTTGTTGTTGTTGTTGTTGTTGTTGCTGTACTTGTGTGTGTGTGTGTGTGTGTACGTGTGTGTGTTATAACTGGGTGGTGTTGCTACATGGCATGCGATGATATTAGCTTCCTGAAGTTTACTCTTCTCTATTGCTTGCTAGTGTAAGCATGTACACTTTGATTCCATAAAGCAAGTCAAACCAGCATCAGCCCAATTCTGTGTGCATGGATATGTGTGTGTGTGTGTGTGTGTGTGTTGTCCCTCCCAAGCATTGCACGAAGCAAGACCAAGTGCGAAGGAGTGCGACAGCAGCATTCCAAAAGTAGTGTGTCAGCAGCAACCGTGCGAACGAGGCTTGCGCTATGCAGTGATGAAGGTGTGGTAGATGAAGAGCGTGGAGAGGAACACGGTGATGTTGTCGAGTTTTGAGGGCGAGAGCGCTTCAACAAGAGCAGCGGCTGTCGATACCACGCCCAGCTGCGCTGTCGTCGGCAGCGGATGCATTGACGGTAGCACAAGCCCCATGGTGTGCAGCATCAGCCACGACGCTGGGAAACTGGACACAAGGAAAGCAACGGAGCCAAGGATGGTCTTTGGATTTCCGACAGGCAGCGGCCACCTCGTCTTGCCGTATCGAGCACCTGCAAACATCACGCGAATGCGGGAAGGAAGTCCATGACGTGAGGAGCATGAAGTCAAACCACACACGCCACCAAGACACAAGAGAGAAGTGTGGGTGCCAAAGCATGAACGCCGCATCAAACAGCGTGACTGCAGTCAACACTTGTCTTTATCTTGGTTCCACAAGTTCAGAGCTTCCTCGGGTTCCCTTCCTCACACATACACACACTGACACACAAGCACACACAAGCACACGCACACACAAGCACACAAGCACACCCACACCCACACACACCCACACCCACACACACTCACACACAAGCACACACACACACAAGCACGCTCCCTCTATCTCTATTATACCTAGGATGGCTGCCATGACGTCGCCCACACAGAGGTTCATGAGACAGACCACAGCAAGTGGGGATTGAAAGTACAGCGCGGTGGCGGTGGTGAAGATGATGCCATACTGCACTGGCCCATACAGGATTTCTGTGCGATCGCCATGGCGACATAGCATGCGGACGGTAAAATCGTCATTGAGGATCCCAAAACCAATGAGTGCAAACTTGAGGGTGACGAGCAGCGGCACGCTTGCGGCCAGCAGCGCCTCTTGTGTTGTTGGAGTGGCCGAGAAGAGAGGCCAGCAGCCCATGAACACGGGACCCATCAACGCGTGTGTCAGACGACGTGCCGTCACACTGGACACAACCTGATGCCCAGCCAGCGCGCGCAGCCCTTGCTCCAATGCCAAACATACCGCTCCCGTCACAGCATACGATACCAACACGTGCATTGTTTCTGATCGTCCGCGTGCGTGGTTCGGGGTCGAGTGAGGGCAAGGTTGCGGTCGTGCTGTTGTGTTGCTGTCTGTTGTGCTGCTTGTTGTGCTGCGACTTCTTTGTTTGTCAGCTGTTGTTGGCGGAGGACAGCGGTGGCAAGTGTTTGCCATTAGTGAATGATTTGCAACAATAATCTGCAAACAAGCAACGCATTCATTCGCCAGCGGAAGATTGTTCGCGGACCCACCTTATCTAAGTCAACCCTCTTCTCATCCCCCTCACCCATATGCTCCCTCTGTCATTGATTTGATTGATTGTTTCCATTCAATGCACACACACACACATACACACACATACACACACACACATACACGCACACATACACACACACATACACACACACACGGTGACCGTGCTTCCCCACCCGCGCATTTCGAGGGACCCATTCAAATCGACCTGCTCACTTGCCGCTGATGGATGAGAACTACATTCGACTCCAAGATGTGGCCAAGCGGAGGCAGAAGGTGTACGAGCCCATAGAAACGGCCGACGACCAGAGACACACAAGCAACAGCAGCCGCAGCACCGCCAGTGCTGGCGGTGGCCGTGGTGGACCGCCAGCTGGCGCCACTGCGCGTGTTGCTGCCCAGACACAGGACACGGCACCTGCTCCTGCACCGTGAGTTTTGGGCATGCATTCATGTGTCTCGTCATTATTTCATGTCTTGCACTCCCTGCCTCCATTCACGCTCGCTCGCTGTCCGCCATTGATTGCCATCACTTTACCTTTGTCCCACAACACCATGAGCATTGTTGGTGGTCACGCTGAGAGTTGCATGCTGCACGCGGTGGTGATTGTTTGTTGTTTTGGGGGCGGCAACTCTTGTTTTGCCAACCCACCACACGACGATTGTTACTGTCCCCACATCTGTCTCGTGAACTGTGTACGCAAGGGCCCATTCTTCAACATCCTTCCACCCAACGCACTCTCCCTTTTGTTTTGCTCACATATCAACATTTTCACACATCGACATACATCGACGCACGCACACATCAACACACACGCACACATCAACACGCGCACGTACACATCGGGATGCCCCCACACCTGTTCTTCTCCTATGCTTGCAGCAGGGCTTTCCTGCCCACTGTCACACCAAGCACACAGGGTGACGATGAAGGCGAGTATGATCCCACGGGAACAACGAAGACAGTCACATCGGTGCAGAGCCTTGGCGACCTGACACACCACTACACCAACATGGGCGCACTTGGCTGTGTCATCATCAAGGGCGTGCATGGCTACTGCAGCTTTCTCAACGGTATTTATCGCCGCGTGGAGGACATCACCTACGAAGACAGGTATGTGTGTGCATGTGTGGCTGTGTATGTGTGTGTGTGCCTCTGTGCGTGTGTGTGTGCCTCTGTGTATGTGTGTCTGTGCGTGTGCCTCTGTGTATGTGTGTCTGTGCGTGTGCATCTGTGTATGTGTGTGTGTGCGTGTGCATCTGTGTATGTATGTGTGTGCGTGTCGCTGTCTCTGTTTATTCGCAGGTACATGCGTTTTTGTTTTCATCAATGTCCGTGCTTGTCTGCGTTGCGTCCTGCTTTCGCGTGCCCCCCCCCCGTTCCCTTGCTTTCTGTCACTTGATATCTGCATGATTGCTTTCCACCCATTGTCAACGCTCACAGCTTAGCCACAATCTCACCTTGCACTGCTGCGCACATGTCAAGACACGTGTATCGGCTGGACACCATGGTCCCGCATGGAAACTCCGTGGCTGCGGGCAAGTTCCTGTACATGTACTTCAAGGCCGGCCAGCGCGCGTGGGCGATTGGCTTGCGGCTCGGCTCGTCTGGGGTGCTTGCGTATCGCAAGGTGACGGGCTTGGACCCTGTCACGGGCTCTGGCCCGTGGATGGTCACAGATCCCCAGGGAAAGTGAGTTTGCGCCGTCTGTGTGTCTGTGTGTGTCTGTGTGTGTCTGTGTGTGTGTGTGTGTGCGGAGGGGGAGGGGAAGTGTGTGTGCCTGTTTGTCTATGTGTGTGTGTGTGTGTGTGTCTGTGTGTCTGTGTGTCTGTGTGTGTCTGTGTCTGTGTGTGTCTGTGTGTCTGTGTCTGTCTGTCTGTCTGTCTGTCTGTCTGTCTATCTGTCTGTTGGCTCAAACTTTGCCGTGTTCTTTTGGTTTGGTTGGTGTGGTTTGCTGGTCGTGTGCCTGCTTCCCGTCTCTTCTGCTTGCTTGAGCTCGCGTACCTCCTGTGTACCTCCTGTGTACGTGCTTCATCCATGTACACACACGCTCACGCTCACGCTCGCACACACACGCACACGCACGCACACACACACACACACACACACACACACACACACGCACACACACACACACATGCACACACCCTCTCGTGTCGCGACAGCTTCTTTGAGGAGCCGTCACTGCGGGCGCGAATGGCGGGTGGATATACGGTCCCGTACACCGAGGACACGCGATTGCTGGAGCGCAGCAGCTTCCCCGGCGCACTCCCATACGGATTCACCCGCCCAAAGGCAGAGGCCCTCTTGCTGCAGCACTTTGCCCAACACAGACAAGGAGGTGTGTGCGTATTTGTGTGTGTCTGTGCGTGTCTGTGTCTGTGTATGTGCGTTTCTGTGTCTGTCAGTCTGTGTGTGTGCGTACTTGCGTGCGTGCGTGTGTGTGTGTGCGTACTTGCGTGTGTGTGTGTGTGTGTGTGTCTGTGTGTGTCTGTGTGTGTATGTATTTGTGTATGTATTTGTGTATGTATGTGTGTGTGTGTGCCTCCCTCTGCTCCACCCCCCCCCCTCCTCACGCACCACTGCCACCCACCACGCCTTGTCTTGCAGGGGTGTATGTGCTGCGACGGAGCACGTCTGTAGCGGATGCGTGCATCCTGTCCATCCTCGACGCCCAGGGCCGCTGCCACCACCTGCAGATTGATGCGTCCAAGGACGGCTGCCACGTGTGCGGAACAAGCATCCAGCGCGGATCAATGGCAGAGGTGTTGGAAACGCTCACAACGCGCCAGCTTGCGCTTGTCAACGGAACGCGGCTGCCACGGCTGACGAGCAACCTGTTGGACGACCGGGCGTTTCGGGAGCTGGTGCGGCACACGTCCAGCAGCAGCGCCAGCCGCTCCACCACGCTCAGCCGCAGCAACACGATGGGCGGGAGCACCAGCAGCAAAGGGTCGGCGAGCACCAGCAGTCGGCCCAGCCGCACGGGGAGCCTACAACACAGATCTGGGCTGGCGAAGCAGCGCGTGTACAGCGTTCCAAAGGGCATGGCACTCGGTGCCAAGTCGTCTCTTGCGACGTCTTCCTCCACGGCCTCATCGCTCCAGCACGACATGAGCCCGCAGCCAGACACCCAGTAACATGTAGTACGCTCCGCTGTGCTGTGCTATTGTGTGATATCCTGTGATTTGATGTACTGTGCTGGGAGGCGCTCGTGGTGTGCTTCTTCTGCCTTCTTCTTCTCTTTCCCCTCTCCTTTGCTTGTTCTATGGTATTTCCTGCTCTGTTACCTCCGACATGTTACTCTTATTTGGCGCACCGCCCTTCAGTCCACACACACACACACCTATGCACGTTGGTGACATTTAACAAACACCTAAACAAACGCGTGATGTGACAATGTGAGACACGATGGGCAGACGACAACAACAACAACAACAACAACAACAACAACAACAACAACAACAACAACATCATCATCATCATCATCATCATCATCATCATCATCATCATCATCATCATCATCGCAACAACAACAACAACAACAACAACAACAACAACAACGACAACCAGTGACACAACACAAGTAGGAAAAATGTTGACATGAAAGTCAATTTTCTCATGATACAACCGTGCCACTGTGTGCAAAGCACGAAGCAATAAGGACAGTTGGGTGGACGAGGGGGAACGGAGGTGGTTGCGTGACAATGGCGGCTGCCTCGAAGCAAGGGAAGCACAGTTGGCTGGCAAAGGAGCACGTCTCCAACCAGGGGGCAGAGCACAGCAGTAATCGCAGCCGGGAAACTGCCACCCAACAGCGCGAATTGACGGGCGAGGGCGCTGATGGGTAGGCGGTCGTCACACCGTCACTGCACACATGCATGGGTTGGCCCGCAAACAGTGCACACGACCGTTGCAAACCCCGCAGAAGAATTGGTTGTGCCGTCGTCGTCGTTTGGTTGGTGTGGCTGAAGCTGGGCCGTGTGTTGTGTGTTGGGTGTTGTGCATTGTGTGTTGTTGTTGTTGTTCTTGCTTGTGGCGCGCTCCATCTGAAAGCAAAGGCTCAGCAAGCACAGCACACCTCCAGCAAACAACACACCACCAGCATACGCAACATCGCAAGAGCAAACTCACCAAACACCAATCACAACAACAACACGAACAACCACCAACTACACCAACACCCCAAAGGAGGAAGGTCTCGTTCCGTGCAACGAAACAGGGTCGCGACTGGAGTCGGGACCACGCCAACGGCTGGCTTCGTTGCTTTGCCGCCCCCCTCGCTGTGCCATTTTACACTCACGTCCCCTGAGAGGAACCACGCCAAGCCTCGTTTGCGAGCTCGCTTGCTGTTCGCGATCGCGTAACTGATCAGCACCCAATATGGCTTTCCGCCCACTCGACGTCTTCCTTGCCACGGCTGCAGCAAAGCCGTACCCTTCCAGCGTCGCCTCCAAGCCACAGCCACAGCCCAAATCATCCGCTCCCGTCTTCAGGTGTGTGTATGTATGTATGTATGTATGTATGTATGTATGTATGTATGTATGTATGTATGTATGTATGTGTGTGTATGTATGTATGTGTGTATGCATGTGTGTATGTGTGTGTGGATGCTTCTGTTTCTCTCTGTACCTCTTTCTGTGCATCAATCTAGGTCCTTCCCCTCTCTCTCTCTCTCTCTCTCTCTCTCTCTCTCTCTCTCTCTCTCTCTCTCTCTCTCTCTCTCTCTCTCTCTCTCTCTCTCTCTCTCTCTTCACTTCTCCTTATTCCCTTCCGTACGTCACCTCATCTCTCATGACCTCACTTTTGCGCCACATCCAACCCCTTCCCCCGCGGTTTTCACAGCCATCCGCCACCACCATACCCTGGGCCAGCGTCACAGCGCAAGAGCGACGTGTTTTCCTCTGCAGCAGCCCTAGTTCGCGCGGCCACACCGGAGCTGGAACCCGCGTTTGACATGTCTGACCACGAGGACGCAGGCATGAAGCACGCTGCCGCAACCAGCAGTGCGTACCCGCTCAACGCCAACGACAGCGGCATCTGTGTGCACCACGTCAAGGATTGCGATCCGTCGCATGTGGACTCGCACAAGACGTGTTCGTCTTCATCGGCGTCGTCGCCTTGCTCAGACAGTGACACGCAGGACATGGGTTCGCCAACACCACCGCGCACCAAACGCACGCCCTTTGAGGCAGATGTGGAAGCCCTCAGTGACATGCTCCTCCACCTGCAATCGTCACCGCCACGCAGCACCGTCCCAGAGACTCCGCGCAGCGAGGTGCGTGCTATATCTGCGCGAACACATGATAAGCATCATGCCAAAAGGCGGAGGAATGCGCGCGCGAGTGTGTGTGTGTGTGTGCGCGCGCGCGCGTTTGTTCGTTTGTTTGTTCGTTTGTTTGTTCGTTTGTTTGTTCGAGTGTGTGTGTGTATGTGGTGCGCCTTTGTTGGCGACTTGAATGTCCATCACCATTCACTCCTCAACCACCCATCCCTGCCGCTCCATTGTCCAATTTGCCATTCTCAGATTGACGAAGAAGAGGAGGCGGACATGGAGCTGTACGCCACGCTGCTGGATGTGCAGAGCTCACAACTCGTTCGGCGCATGAACAACAGCAGCAGCAGCAGCATCGGTAGCAGCAGCAGCAACCATCACCACAACGACACGCCAGACCGACGTGAGGAAGTGCGCGCAGTGCAGTCAGCACAGCCACCATCAACGGCTGCCCAGCGGCAACAGCTTGCCAACCGCCCCCTGCCCTCCCCACCACAGCACCACCACCAACAACAACAACACCAACAGCAGCACCAACAGCAGCAGCACGGCCATCACTACGAACGACCCGCCTCTCGCTCGTCACCAGCTGCTCGCAACACGTGGCCAAAGCACGCGCGGCTGGTGCTGGCCCACGCGCATCAGCCCGTTGCTGACCCACCCTCATCACTGACACCGCCTTCCTCCGCCGCGTCCTTCTCGCCAGCGTCATCTCCCCTGGCATCCCCAGCACGTGCAAACCCGGCCACCTCCCCGTCCCGCGTTGCTCGCCGCACAGCTTCCCCGCACCACCACCACCATCACCACAAACCCGACGCTGGCAAGAGCACTGGCAGCATCAACAACGGCAACACCAACAGTCCATCACACCAGCAGCCAGCTGCCGCAAGCACAACAATGCCGCTGACAGTCCATGACAGCGCATACAACCACCACCACCACCACCACCATCAGCAAGTGCACCAGCACCAGCACCAGCAACATCATCATCGCCACCGCCACCGACGCCGCTCACCAAAAGGAAGCACAAGCAGTGGAGGAGGCGGCAGCAGCAGCAGCAGTGGAGACGATGGCACGGGACAGCGCGAGCGAGAGGCAAGGCGGCAGGCACACAAGAAGCTGAAGAAGGAAAAGCGCGCCAAGGAGAAGAGGAGGAGTAAAGCACACCACGACATGCTCACGATGCCGCTGCCCGCAGATCCCCGCGAGCAGCACATGGTGGAGATGACGGCGCGGCAGCAGCGAAACGCCCGCCACCAGTCCCGACTGTTCGTCAGCCCAACACCTCGCCATTCACCACACCACCACCACCGCCAGCACCATCGTCAAGACGCACGTGTGCATGGCGGTCGCAAGAGCGGCGGTGGCCGCGCACACAAGCACCTGTCTGTAAACACGCTGGTTGCGTCATGCGATCCTGGCCTGTGCCACCCCGTGATGCCTGTCACGCACCCAACAACGGTACACGTGATGCAACCGCGCGACCGCCGCCACTCTCACCCGACAGACAGCAGCGCAGCTCCTGTGATGATGACGAGGATGACAGCAGCACAACAGCCACCAACCGTGCGCGCTGTGACAGCTGTGCGGCCACCACACGCCACATCGTCGTCGTCGTCGTCATCGTCGCGGTATCACTCGTTCGTTGTGCTGGTCACGCCGACGTCCACCACCAACGCCCTCGGTACGCTGCTTATGCCGGTGCATGCGAATGGGGAGCGGGTGTTGTTGTTGTTGTTGTTGTTGTTGTTGTTGTCATTGGCAAGTGTGTCAGCTTGTGTCTCTCAGTGTGCTACATCGCACCTCACCTACCACATTGTCGCTGTGGCGTCCCTCAATGGGTGGGTTGATGTGACTGGCAGGCCTGAATGGCACCTTCATCGCCCAATGCCGCGAACACAACCTCGTGCTCCTCACACCGCACTCCCACAACCTCGTCTGGGAGGTCAAGTACAACGAAATCAAGCGGTGAGGAACATGCCTTGTCATGTGTGTGTGTGTGTCTGTGTCTGTGTTTCTGTGTGCTTCTGTGTTCCTGTGTGTGTGTGTGTGTGTCTGCGTCTGTGTGTGTCTGTGTTTCTATGTGCTTGTGTGAGTGTGCGTGTGTGTGTGAGTGTGTGAGAGAGATCGGCAGATGCTGATGCGAAGGTCTCGCTGCCACAATGACATGTGTCCATGCGCCACACACACTCTCACACATTCACACATCCACAGGTTCAGTGTCGAGCGAACGCTGCACACGCTCTCCCTCGAGGTTGGCCGCGTGCACAAGTCGTATTTTGGTCTCTACTGCTTTAAGACACAGCAGTACGATGCTTTCTTCCAAACCCTTCACAGGTGCGTGTGTGTATGCCTGTTTGCGTGTGTGTATGTCTGTGTGCGTGTGGGTATGCGTGTCTGTCTGTCTGTCTGTCTGTCTGTCTGTGTTTGTATCAGTGCATGCACATGTGCTTGTGTTCATGTGTAGCCCTTGACAATCGCTCCTGGGCTTGGTTCAGCCCCCTCCCCTCTCTAGCACGTGTACACGCTCACTCACGCTGCTGTGATCATGGAATCGTCCATTTCAGGTTCATCGACGCCAAATGATGTGCTGCACCGTCATCTCCAGTCCACACCAACCCCCGCCCCTGTGTCTTGTGTGTGTGGGGGTGTGTGGGTGTGTGTGTGTGTGTGTGTGTGTGTGTGTGTGTGTGTGTGTGTGTGTGTGTGTGTGTGTGTGTGTGTGTGTGTGTGTGTGTGTGTGTGTAGCCTGCGGTTTTTTATCGTGTCTGGGTGCAGAACAAACATATTTGCGTTGCCGCCAACACCATCCATCCCCTCTGTCACGCGAATGACCCCTTTCCTCATCCCCAGCTGTTACCGTGTTTGTATCGTTTCGTTACCCATCAACCACAGTTCCGCCCTCCGTTCATTCAAGCATTCATTCGTTGGTTCATTTTCATTCATTTGTTGCGGTGTGACAGTAGCAGTACACACCAACAGAGCACAAACAACCAAACAAACAACACAGCAAGAGCAAAGAGAATTGGTCGATGGTGTGTGTGTGTGTGTGTGTGTGTGTGTGTGTGTGTGTGTGTGTGTGTGTGTGTGTGTGTGGAGGTACGCATGCTAGACCATGCTGGGTTGCCATATGAGGGTGCACGTGTGAGAGCAACAAGGCAATGAGGGCATTTGAGGGATGAAGAAGGGGGCGGGAGGTTGCACTTGGTGTGGTGTGGCAGCTCCTATTCTCTGTTCAGCAACATGTAAAGGCCAAGTACTCCCAACAGCACAAACTGCGACAGAGCAGGATATGAGAGAGGGGTTGAGAGAGAGCGCGCGCGTGTGTCTGTCTGTCTGTCTGTCTCTCTCTCTCACACACTCTCACTCTCACACACACACACACACTCTCTCTCTCTCTCTCTCTCACACACACACACACTCTCTCTCTCCGTCTGTAAGTGTGTGTTATATACGTCAACAAGAGCAAACACGACTGGTGTTGCTTCTGTTGCGGCTCTCACCTTGAGGAAAGGGAAGTCGTTCATGAGGATCGTGACAATGCCAACATATGGAATGAACCTGTCGTGCAAAGCGGGAACGTGACCACGTACCCAGGTATTCACACGTACACATACGTGAGCATCCACCAGGGAATTGTGCACATGCGCCACTTCTCATTCTCCCATCAGGTCGCTCATCGCTCAATGGCCCAACATCACCAACACCGCTAACAACACCACCAACACCGCTAACAACACCACCAACAACACCAACACCCATTCGTGGCTTACGCTCTCGCTCTGCCAACAACATCGTCGGGGTGAAGCCACAACTGGTCCTGCACACAAACGAACACAACACACATAGCACATGGCAAACGCACACATAACACGCACACGTGATTAGCACGGCGCTTGCTCAACAGCTGCCCACATGCGGTATTCGCATTCACAACATGCAGTCAAACAGTATCAGCGAGGCAATAGGCATGGCATACCTGTGCGTAGAGGCCCCTGTCGTCCACCCGGTTGTTGTCTCCCTTGGTCAAGAACTTCAAGTTGCCGTTGTGACTGTTCGGAGGGGGTGTCAAACCAAACACAATGCAGCATGCGTGAACACAAAGCGATTCAAGGCACAATGCTGTGCGACTGAGAGTATCGTGTCCACATTACACACTGTGCATCTGTGCATGCGTGTGTGCACGCACCAAACAATCAACTAAACCATCAACCAATCAACTCACCAACCAATCAACCAATCAACCAATCAAACAATCAAACAATCAACTAACCAACCAATCAAACAAGCTTCACTCTCACACATACACACGCACACGCACACACACACACAACAAATGTAATACTTACTCTTCATGCAGTTTCAGCACGCGATGTACAATGGGTATGTCTCGCCCTCGGACCTGCCACATGAGTCGATGCAAGGCAGGCAGATCGTGTGAGTGTGCCGTGTGTGCGTGTTTGGGTATGAGCGTGAAAGCTTCAGAAAAAATTGATGCGCGTGAACCCACCAATGTACATCGACGTACACCGATGTACACCGACAGATACCGACGTTCAACAACCCAATTCGTGCAGGTGCCAGCTGGCTGACGCAGCAGTGGATGTAGGTTTCACCTTAAAGACGAGGATTTCACCGACGCGGATGGGGTCTGACTTGTCGTTGGTGAGAAACAGCAGATCGCCACGTGTGAAAGCAGGCTCCATGCTTCCGCTGAACAGTAACGTGGCACAAAGCCGAGAGCAGACCAGACACAACAACACAAACGCAAGCAAGTAAGGTCGTACGTCACGTGAGAACAACACGGGAAGCAGAATGGCCGACGACTAAGCACGTAGAGTGGAACAAAGGGCAACGTGCCTGTCAGCACAAGAACATTCGCACAGTGAAGCCGTGCATGGTGTCCAGGTGTCCACTTAA